GTGGTGGTGGCTTCTCGAAGTCTCTGCTGGGGTATGAATGTTGCTGCTCATCTAGTGATCATCATGGATACGCAGTACTACAATGGCAAGATCCATGCGTGAGTATAGTTGCTGTGGACATTAACAGATCTCCCTCCTAAAACCAGTGTTAATCTGCAAATGCAGTCTAGGGAACTAAACGTAGTCTAGAGTCCCTGTAGATCAGGGTTAATTTTTGGGTCCCAGGAGGTAGACTTCTTTTTAGTCATTGTACCTCTATCTCAGCAGTTTGGAGAGAAGACCTTACAGACAGGAGGAAATGGGGGTTGTTAACCTGCTCCCCACAAGGTCACACCTTTGTCGGTTCAGTGTTTCTCACAGCCTGAATAATTTAACTTTTTTTTTTTTTTCAAAAATACAGATTATTTTGAAATTAAATTAGTTTTGTGAGTTTAAAATGTCTGAATCTGGTTCTTGCTTTGGGTTTTAGATTACTTTTTAATCTGAAACACACAGCCCTTAAACTTGACTTTAAGTTTGGTCCTTTAATAGGATGTTATTTTGCTTCTGGCCTTAGGTAGGTTTGCAGCTTTGGTTCAAGTTCATTGAGTAACACATTCATGACTCTTTCCCTTAGAAACTAAAGTAATGTGTAGGTAAGCAAATGAAATGAATCACTAAGCACAGCACACAGGTTCAGGACCAGTTTTGCTGTAGTTTGACCTTATCTCCCTGCCTTCATCTTCTGTCCCTGTGGCTGAAGACAGGCAGGTCTCCTGACATGTTTCCTATTTCTCTCTTCTGCCCCAGCTATGTGGACTACCCCATCTATGATGTGCTTCAGATGGTGGGCCATGCCAACCGCCCCCTGCAGGATGACGAGGGGCGCTGTGTCATCATGTGTCAAGGCTCTAAAAAGGTCAGTTAGGAGACTTTGAACAGATTTCTCGAATCTTTCTGAAATGTCTTTAATAAACTTTTCAGTCCTTTCTGTCAGTTGCTTTTGTAACAAGCTGGAGCCAACACAGAATTTTGTTCTTTGTTTTTGCTCCTGCTGGTGATTCCATGTCTCCACCGATTGTTGTCTTTCTTCATGCATTGCTTCCTGCTCCAGCTGTGTGGCTTGGCGTGCCCCACGCCTACTCTGTATCACATGAACTGTTTTCTAAGTGTTTCTCCTATCTGGCTGTTATATATATAATCACACAGGCCATTCATTCCCTGTTGGGTTGCCCTTCACCCTTTATTATCATGTTGTCATTGATTCTTTTTTAATGTCCCCCTCCCCCAATCCACAGGATTTTTTCAAAAAGTTTTTATATGAGCCATTGCCGGTAGAGTCTCACCTGGACCACTGTATGCATGACCACTTCAATGCTGAGATAGTCACCAAGA